CCCCCCCCCCAGTGAGTGAGACCCACAGCCAGACGTGGAGACGGAGTGCTCTCTGCAACACCCTGGAGCACAGCTTATCTGCTGCCCAGCCTGCTCCAGCCCCGGTGGGTCTCTGGTGGGGGCAAGGGAAAAGCCAAAAGTCTCCCCCTGACAGAGGATGACTCCTTCATTCCCTTCACTTCTCCCAGAAAGACTCAGCTCTGCCTCATGCCCAAGCACAGCCGCATGCTCCGGGCAAACAAGGGATGGGAGAGGAGCCTGTGCTCCTTGCAGGACTGACCCATATCTGGTCCATGCTCCTGGCCCCAGGTGAGCGCTCTTTTATTGGAAGAGCTTCCATTATGAAGAGAATATTAAACAGGCTAGGACTAAGAAAAATGTAACCCGGGCGGTACTCCAAGAGGTACCCCTCTCCAATTGAAGGGATCAGAGCATGTGCACAAGTGCTGTGGGAGGTGTAGGGACCCTCCTCCCCGTATAGAGCAGAGCCAGATCACCAATAGGGACAAACCATATATCTTTTCATGAGAAAAACAGTAGAGGGAACATAACATGTGTAAACCAGGGGGCATAGGAGACACTATGACGGCCTGAGGGGGCAGGATTCCATAAAGGCTAGGCATTTACAGTTGTAGACATATTCATCCAGTTTACCGAAGACCAGTTTAACAAAAAAGAAACACAAACAGCAGAGCAAACAATACTGGCTGGGGAAATATAAAATGCACAAAATACAAAACATCAAACAACAAGAGCTGTAGGGTATAGGTACCGGGAGGGGGGGGGAAGGAAGGAGCCACAATGACCCCCGTCCACTGCAACAAGAATTTTCTCCCCACTACTTGGGCCAGGCAGGACTTAAACTCAGGCCTGCTGCGTGGCAAGCAGACACTCTACCACACAGCCAACAGTGTTCCAAGCTTTTAGGGGTTTGACCTTCCTGGAGCCCCGGCCTCACGTCACGCTGCCTGGTCTCTTGCTGGAGGAGCTGGAAGCAGAGCTGGGAACCTCTCAGGTCACTGCTCGGATCTTGCTGGAGCTGAGGAGCCTCTGCTGCTGGCCACAGCCTCTCGTCGGGGATCCTGGAGCCCAGCGGGAGCCTCTCCTGCCGGCCACACGCCGCGCTGCTGAGGACCCCACTTCTGCCTGCTCCTTCAGGCTCTTCTGGGGCAACTGCTCCTGCCACACTGGCCCAGCTCTTGCCTGCTCCTTGAAGCTCCTTCCGTCTCTCCTGAGTCAGCGGCGCTGCCCCTTTTACCCCCTCCAGGTGACCCAAGGGGCCAATCGGGACACGGCAGGAGAGTCTCGGGGGCCTGATTGATGAGTAGAGGGAATCCCAAGTCCTCCAATCATCTTTTACCCCTTCAAAACCTCTGGGCCATATCACTACCAGCTAGCCCATCACAAAAGCTTAGAGAAGAGGTGCTAGAGGGAGAGACCTGAGAGATGTTTGCAGAATACTAAAGAGTGCAGAGAAAGTGAAGAGGGGTTTATGTTTTACTGTCTCTCTTAACAGTAGAACTAGGATATGTAAAATTAAACTATGGGATCCTAGGTTTAAAACTAACAGAAAAATGCTTTTTCACACTGTGCTTTTTTGGAGTACAGCCTCTAAATCAGCACGGGGGTGCTTGTACATGTGACTCCCAGACAATGTACACGTGACGAAAATGTCTCTTTGCGTGACTTATTGGCATCACACTTTACATGTACGTGAGTTTTTGGCAATTTAAATGAGTTTGATTCATCACAAACTGAACCCCATCCGGTGTAGTTTAGTTTGTGACGATGCTACTTGGAATGGTGCAGCCCCACCCCTTGATGGGTGCCCCCTCTGGTTGCCATCTTGTGACCAGAAATCCTGCCCCACTACCCTGTGACCTTTCCCACTGAAAGTTTCTCCCCTTCCCCAAGAAGTGCTTCTTTTAGGGGTGGGGTTTGCTTGAATATTGTGTGTTGTGGGGCGTTATACAAATATACTTTTTGCCTATCACTTTGAATTTGATGTATTTGCTTCAGTTTTGTATTGCCTTAAGAAACTTCATTTTGTATTGCTTTGTAGCTTGACACAAGTGTTTGTCCTTTGTATGCTGCATGTGTGAGAGAATGGGTAAGAGTGTGTTTGTGGAAAAGAAAACATCATCTGGCGACTGGCTGAAGAATGCAGACAGATAAAAGACCAAAACAAGAAGAATCTGCACCAGAACAGCGAGAGAACAACGGCACTCAGCCTTCAAGGAAGAACACAGTGATAACACAGGAGAAGCCCAGAGGACTGGGTGAATTGACAAGGCTATACAAGATGGGGTGAGACATCGATTTGGGGTCTTGCTCTGCATGTCATCCTGGAGCATCGGTTCTTCTGATGAGCTGGACTGTCAGGAGCCTGGCTCCTACTCGTGATCCACTTGGTTGGCCTCTAAGTTGATCTGAGTACTGATAAGACTGGTAAACGTATACCAACGCATAACAGAAATTGGGGCATGAATGTGGGGTGTGTGTGTATGTGTGTGTGTGTGTATTAAGCACTTAATCAGTAAATGCAGCATCTTGCTTTATTCTCCCTCATAAAGTCGCACTCGTGATTTCAGCAATTGCCAATTTGTGTAACATTTAATTAGTGGAGAATGCATAACAGGGTGTGGGGGTGGTGTTGGTATGGTGTGGATGCAGTGTGGGGGTGCAGGAGGGGTATGTGGCTATGGTTTAGGTGTGGGGTGTATGGGGCTGCTGGGAGTGTTTGTAGATATGGAGGGGGATGCAGAGTGAGAGCATGTGTGGGGTGTATCGTGGAGGTCGGGGTGTGGGTGTATGTGTGGGATGTGTATGGTGGAGTGTGTGGTTGGGATGTGGGGTGTGCCTACCCTGTGCCTGTCTCATGGGGCTTTGTGACCCGCTGAGCTCCTTCATCACCCACCCCGTACCCACACGGTCCCCCGCCTGCATGAGCAGGACCAGAGTGAGCTTTAGGCAGAGCCCTCCTCACTCCCCTTGACGCTGCAGCTCCCCTGCCTCCCTGCTCCCCAGAGGCTGCAGCAGGGACAGGAACAATTGCTGGAGGCCGGGGAGCCCAGCAGTTCCCTGGAGAGTGGCAGCGATAGCCGTGCCTGGAAGCTGAGCTTGCTGGTGGGACTGGCACCTCCAGCAGGGCAGGCTGGAGTGCAGCACATGGTGCCATGGGCAGGACCTGGCCCCGTGCAGAGCGCAGCAAGGGCAAGCACCTCATACAATTAATTGGTGGGTGCCTGCCTGCAGGCTGGATCTAATCAGCTGGTGGACTGGATCTGGCCCACAGGCCATATTTTGCCCACCATTGCCTTAATCCGTCACATGTACGTGGCAATTCACCACTTTTAAAATGATTGTTAAAACTAGTGCTCTGAGAAGTGACACAACACTGGTTGATGAAGAGCAGAAAGGCTTGTTTTAATAACTACCAAGAAGTTGCAAACTGAGTGACAGAAAAAGTCTCTTTTCCAATATAAAATGAGCTATTAGTCCTTGTAATATCTCACCTGCAGGGATCTTTACCCGATGCAGCAGGAAACCGTTCTTGTCCAGCCTCGCAGCGTGGGTCCCTCGCGTATCGGCTGGGCGCAGGATGGGGCCTGGTCTTCCCTGGACCGCACACGCCTGGCTGGCGCTTCAGTCTTGCTGTATACTGTTTCATTGTCTAGCTTAGAAGCATTTGTCCTTGACGGCTGGCCCATTACAGTCTGAACAAAACAGGGAGGAAAAGGGTGACCATCGCATTACAACTGTTACATGGCCTGGCTCCTGTTTGGATCTGTCCAGGTGTGAAGTCTTGTGCTTCTCGCAGCCCCAGCACTGCTAGGGAGGTACAGGTGATGGGTCTGAGCGGTCAGACACGAAGTGTAGAGGCTTTGGGCACCGACCTGTCTTTGGGGATTTGTTTTAAATGGGGCAAATTTGCAGTAGGTTGTCCTGGTGATGGTCTCATTCCCAAAGTCCAGGCAGACACTGAACAGGTGAGACATTTGTAACGCCTTGGGCAGGATGCCTGCTTGGACAAATGTGAGCAAGATGCATTTGTCCCGTCCCGGGCATCCTTTCTGCACCCTTTACAGGTTTCTCTTGAGATGCAAATTTAGTTTTGTTTCCTTTAGCTGCTAGGTCAGTTGAAATGCAGATGTAGTTTCCTTGCTTCACTGGCTCAGCCTTTCCCCTGGCTTTCTTCGCCTGGCAATACACATGCGATGAGCCTGTCAGGTCTCTGCCAACAATTTTAACCATCGCTTTTATTATTCTATGGCCTGGGCCTGGTGTGGGGTACCACAAGCACTCCACTGTCTCGACGCCTAATGGGTTGCAAGCCATTAGCGGATCTGGATTTCTCATGGCAGTCTTGTCCCCACAACCCAGTCTTGCCCCAGCCATTTTTATGCAGAAGACACTGTCTGAGCTTTCACGGTTTTCATGTGGAGCAGGTGGGTGCCTGCCTGCAGGCTGCATCCGGTCAGCTGGCAGGTGGGATCTGGCCCACGGGCCGTATTTTGCCCACCCCTGCATGAATCTGTTATGTGTAATTCACCTAATGACATGTAGTGCACCCCCTTGTCCACCACGTGTTGCTACAATTTGCAGGTAGTTGCGTGTGATGGGTGCTTGAGGACACCAGGTGCAGCTGCACAGTCCAACATGAATCACTCTTCTGCTGACCTCTTATTATTATTTTATTTAATCATTTAAAGAATATGATCTGTAGTTGTCTCTCCTGTTTCACGTGGTGTGGTGATGTCCAAAGGACACCAGTATGTGTTGGGGGGTTGCAGAGTGGGGTGATCTTGGGCTCCTTTGGAGATCGATCGGTGTGTGCTGTCCGTGCCCCCTTCTCCATTCTCGGGGACAATGTGGTTGGGTGCACCCTGACCCTCTCAGCACTGACCCCTCAGGAGGCACTACTTCACAGTCAGGGCGGCTAGGATCTGGAACCAACTTCCAAGGGAAGTGGTGCTGGCTTCTACCCTGGGGGTCTTCAAACGGAGGCGGAATGAACACCTGAGCAGGGTCGTTTGACCCCAGCATCCTTTCCTGCCCATGGCAGGGGGTTGGACTTGATGATCTGCTCGGGTCCCTTCCGATCCTACCAGCTATGAAACTATGAAACTATTACAGAAATACCGCACAGTGCTGCATGCTGTTGAGTGCTGGTCACCTCACTTGGAGTTAGTGCTGTGAGTGGTGTTGCAAAACCAAAACCACTCAATGGAGTTAGAAATGACCTGTATAGGTGAAAGTTTTCATAGTTTCATCGTTGGTCGGGTCAGAAGGGACCTGAGCAGATCATCAAGTCTGACCCCCTGCCCTGGGTAGGAAGGGATGCTGGGGTCAAACCAGCCTTGGGGGCGCTGGTCCTCATAGGTGCAGAGAAGCTATTGCTGCCGTGAGCTCCACGGTGCCCTGGCAACGTGTCCCCTGCTGGGCGAGAGCAGCGCCAGGCTGGCAGGTGCGAGTGCCAAAGAGCTAAGGGCTCGCCGGGTGGCAGGGCAAGGAGCAGAGGGCCGAGCGGGAGGGGACGGTGATCGTGGCAGGAGTGCTGGGTCCTGGGTGGGTGAGCCAGGTACTTTTGGGCGTGTGTTACCTGATGCTGCAAGAGTGAGGGGGTGTTTTTCCTTCGGTAGCTCAGCTGGTAGAGCGGAGGACTGTAGAGCGTTGGGCAAGACATCCTTAGGTGGCTGATTCGAGTCCGGCTCGAAGGAATGCCTCCCTTTTGGGGCTTGCATAGGAAAGCTCTGCACCTGGGGGTGGCCGGGGCAGCTTGCGTGGAAGGTGAGCGCTGCTGAGTTGTGCAAGGGCACACCAAAAGGGCCTACTGCCTGCCTGGGAGGCGCTGCCCCTGCGAAAAAGGCTTCCTCTCTGTGAGCGCGAGTGCATTAGGCAGCCGGGGTGAGGTTGGCCCACGGGTGGCCAGGAAGCAAAGGGGGAGCAGGCGACAGCCAAAGGAAGACCTGAGAGCTGCCGAAGCCCGGGATTGATCCAGGGACCTTTAGATCTTCAGTCTAACGCTCTCCC